TATCAATCACTTCAGTTAGTTACTAGGAGCCTCAATTAAAAAAAATAGATCTGTTTGCTGCGAGGGAATACAAGTTGAAACAAACTAAAAATTTAAAACATAATGAATGTTTAAAATTATTATACTATCTCTGTTCCCCAAAATTTAAACAGAAAGTGGGCATTTCTAAAACATGTTATTTTAGAGGCAGATTATATGTTATTCTCACAACCAACTCTAGCCACACCTCTGTGAAATGGGAAAATAATGATTAGCAACTCTATTGCACAGAGGGAAAAATAAACCTCCATTTAATTAGCTTTTTATTTTAAAAGTCCTTCAAGTACACCATTTCACAGATCCTCAAAACAACACCAATAAGGTGTTAATTCAATTCAGTGTTCTGACTACTTGTCAGAATTTCAGTCAAATTTCTGAATTGGGCCCTTTGGTAGTTTAGTTTAAAAATTTGTGAACAAGTATTTTACCAGAATCTCAAGGGTGGAGTTAATGGTCAAAGTCCATTGCCAAAGGATGTATTAGAGGTAACTAGGAGGTACCAGGAAGGGCATAGAATCAAGACAGAAAGGTTCTGGTCTTGCCTGCCTCTTCCCAACTGTGTGATGTCAGGAAAGTTGTATCACTCACTAGGCCTGGGCTTTCTGATCTACAAAAATGAAAAGCTGACTAGATGACCTCCAATTCTGTAAGTCTAACTTTATCACTGATCTATAGTCTGAAATAAGTCAGAACCAAGTATATCATCCTTCCTACTACTTCTGTGTAAACTGACCATTTGCATTCCAAAGCCTTGCCTCTCTGCTGTCCAGCTAGGTTCTCTGATATCAGACAAATGCCACCTGCTATAACTGGCCTTTCTTGTTCCAAGAAAATAAAACCAGCGTACACCTTCTCCTCATTCTTCCCTCTACCATCCCTGACAGCATACATTTCTTCGAACCTTTTGGAATAAAACAGTCTGCTTTCTAGAATAGCAGTTTTCTGAGATACATGAATGACCTGGAAATAAAAGACCTTCCAAGCCTGGATAGTTCTAAGGGAATCAGTTTCCAAACTCTGATTTTTCTCTATCTACACTTTTCTTCAGTCTCCATAGAGACTGTCAAAAGGTGCAAATGCCGACTACATTTTAAATTGTCATGGCAGGGTAACAGGAAAAGTTTTCAGCTAGCAATAATCATGCCCCAGGAAAACCTCATTGGCTATGATATTGCCACTGCACAAAGCTATATATACACTTTTTAAAAATGATCTGAGAATCCACCTTCTTAGTGTGACATTTAAGGCTGTCAATTTCAGCATGGTGGCAGTTTACCAACTTGTTCTCCCACAACTGCCCTACTCAAGCCAGACTAGCAGGTTTTGGAATATGTGTAATTCTTTCCTATTTTTCCCCCAGGAGGCTGTTCCTTCCTGTTAGAATTTCCTCTTCTACTCCTCTTCCTCCAAACTTCACCTACCAGAAATTCTCATCTGGAGAATTTACTGAAGCTGGATGGTGGGTTCATGGGATTCATTATATGATTCTTTTTTGTATGCTCAAAATTCTCCATAATCAATTTTTAAAAGAGGACATGGTCCTGAAAAATACAGTAGCTGGCAGGGCCAATAAAAAAAGAAATGGCCAGTGAAAATTCCCATACAGTAAGAATGGCTGAAAAACTTCAGCACAATGATATATAATATTCATTTCAAGCTGTTTTCTATTCTGTCCTGGACTTTATCAGCTACTGCTAATAAATTCCTTTGCCTTTCACTGAACCTTTGGCTCCATCCTTGAGATTTCAGTAAACTATCTGTCAGCTTCACAAAGTTCTTCAATATTCTTCCTCCAGTTTTACCCATTAATAAAACTCTACTGAGTACACAACAAATTCAAACACACAACAAACTCCATTAAGGAAGACTTCCTGACTCCCTCTAACAAAACAGGCCTTCCCTCAGCCTTCCCTCATGACAATGCATGCTTCATGTCGTGTCAAATGAGTATTTGTCTTACTCGCCCAATGGTCTGTCTCAGTCTCCTCTACCTCCTCTCTACTCTCTAACATCAGCATGAGCATAGCTGGTTCTTTACTATTATCTGTACAACTTAATTGAGAGGTTTGGGCTAGATGACTTTTAAGTCCCTTCCAGTTCTAAAATTCTGTATATCCTATGAATCATGGAATCATGGTTGGGCAATATACCTCTCAGTGTCACACAGGAAGGTTCGAGTAAGTGAAGATATAAGTAGTCTTCCGTCCAAATAATCTAACTGTACAACACAGGAGTCGACTGTTGTTATTGTCTGAACAGGAAACATAACAAAGGCAGCAGCTACCTAAAAGGGACATGACAAGGAAATAAAATTTATTTATCTTTACATATATATATATATAATATCTTCTTCTTTACCTTTTAAATGAAAATAACTTAGGTAGCAAAACAAAATTTTTAAAAGGGCCAAAATTTGATTTGCCTATTAGGACATAAAAGTTTCACTCATTTAAAAGTTTTGGGTAATAATTTGCTACATAAGCGCAGAGGAAAATTCTTAAAGCTCTATTTGTGATTAATCAAAGAAGTTGGAATTAAAAACATGAAGCAAGTTTTTATATGTGTGAGATAATTTTTCACCTATAAATAGTATTCCTCCCTTTGAAAAAAAGATAAATTTGGGCTATACTCTGTATAGGGTTCCAACTTTATTTTAAATAAAATCTATGTTAGGAATCAAGTGGTAACTTTGATAGGCCATAATGACCAAACCAGAGGAATATTCTGATGTGTTAATTAAAATAGTTTAGTCAAAGGCAGTTAGATCTATTCTTTTCTGTTAGGATCCTACACAGAGATAAGCCAATGAAACAAGTTCCAAGTTCCAAAAGCCTTGGAGGAAAGTGACAGTGAGAGTCTGGTCTGTTTTGCTTTAATGACAGGCTGGAGCATTCTGTTTGGGTAACCTGAGACTCAACCCTTCTACTCCAGCTGTGGTCTGGGGACCCACATGGCTGATCATAGTGCTGGGATGCCTTTAAGATTCCATTCACAATAAGTTGCATACATCCTGAGAGAAAATATGTGTATTTCTGATCAATAGGGACCAGTAGAATAGAAGCCTGAGCAACTGGTGCCAACAGGCATCTTTTCTTTCTTAATAGCCTAGTACTAAAGAATGCTTTATTTAAGGTGAATTATGGAGTACTATAATAGACAATGTGCAAATTATTGATATTAGCTTACAGAAGCCATTTTGCAACTAGGCTACCATGTTTATTACATACAAACAAGCCTCCTCAAGATTAATAATCTGGGCTCTAGATCAGTCCCCCAAGAAATACAGTAGACAGATTACTGTGTCCTTTAATTGAAATTCTGTAAGAAACACCTTCCCACCCACATACATGAAGAACTGGACTGGTTCTCACCTTTGCTTGTTTAGAAGTGTTGAGTTTGATGGCAGAAACCTTCCCCATATGATCCCCTACAAAAACTCTAAGAACAGCTGTATCCCAACAAAGAGCTGTAACTTTTCGGCCTTTATGTTCTGAAGACACACAGATTCGTTCTGGTTTTCCACGACGCTCTTGATTTAATTCCCAAACAATTACAAGACCTTGACTGTGAGAATTGAGTCAAAGAAGCAAATTTTTGGTAATGGTGAAAAGGTACAGTTACTTTGCATTACATGTATAGGAAGCTCCTGTTCTTCAGAAAAAGTTAGTAGAAAGTCAAGATATTAATATCCTTGCTTTAGGTCACCAATCTAGTATAACAGAAGAACTAGATATTCTAAATTATCTCTTCACCTCCCACTTTTAAGGCCACTGGAATGTTGTTGCCTTGTATTAACATTTTCCACAACCTTAGGGTAACCACCCCTCTGTCCTGGTGTGCTGGGAACTGAGAGGCTTCTCAGAACACAGGACTTTCGGGGCTAAAACTGGAACAGTCCTAGCAAACCAGGGTAACTGGTCACCCTAACAAACACATGACTACATCTTGTCAATTTGAAACACATTTGGAAAAGATCAGATAGTTTTAAAAGAGTTTCTTACCTGGTAGCTATAGCAACATAATCATCATCATGTAAACAACAGGCAACCTGAGAAACTACACCTTCCTAGAGTGCAAAAAGGAAAAATATTCTCAAAAAGAGTAGTTTTTTATTTATAAACCTCAAGTTTTACATTCTTCTCTTATTCCAAATGATTAGAACAAAGAAATTCTCATTTATGAAAGGTATTCCAAGTGGTGTATGACAGAGTCACCCTTAATCTTACCCTGTGTGAAAGAAAAAGCCTGTGCTTCCAGCCTTCTTTCTGAATGAGATTGAGTCCTCCTCCTGAACTGCCCAAAGCCAACCATTTTCGAGACACGGCTATGCTCGTGCACTAAAACATGTAAACACACAAGTGTGAGCTCATCACATCATTTAACTGAAGAAATTATCTACTAGAAATACATACTGAGGAGCTGTGTACCAGGTCTCTACCCTCCATCCCCTGCTCATCTGCACACCCTACAATGGCACTTAGGCTCTTAAACATTTTGGTTTTAAATTTTTAATTGAATCTAAAAATGCCTGAATAGTCTCACTTGCATAAATGAGTAATTTTTCCCTTGGCAAAAGCCAATTAGACCATCTATCTTTTGTGTAATTTGGGTAGGTTATTCCAATGTTGACCACAAAGGTGGAAGATGAAGTAAGTTTACAGGAGATAAAGCAACCACTTTAATCATTTGCTCACTTCAATCATTTCTAGCCTGTATCATCAGCACAAAACATCCACAGCTTTTAGAGCCAAGTGAGATTGCAGAGCACACAGTTGCAAGTCACTAGTATTATGTTTCCCCACACCCTCAGCCTGCTGATTCCTGTTTTTATCCACAAGAGAAAGCACTGGCCACACTGTGCCCAACACCCCATGGCAAAAAATTTTGCTTGACTGATGGACATTCCCAACCCTCTTCAACCTTGTTTGTTTCTACCATATAAGCTGGAAAATTTAAATATTCACTTACTCGGTTTCTCTTGTAGCTAGGGGGAGCCGTGTGACTCAAATCCAGCTAGTTAAGACTAAGCCTGCTGGGACTTCTTAGAAAGCTTTATCTTCCTAGATAGAGCTTAAAGAAAAGAAAGTCTCTGTCTTGGCCCCCTCCTTCTTGCTTGAGATGCTAATGGAGACATTAAGACTGCAGCCAGGACACTTATCTTGCAACTGTGACTAAAAGCCAATACATGGATGATGGTGAAACAGGAAAGACGGAGAGCCTGGGTCCTCAAGGATATCACTGGGCCACTAAAACTATAAACACTTATTGCTTAAGCCATTATTGGTGAGCTAGCTATTCCGTAACTTCCAGCTAAAAATGTCTAACGGATATCAACCCTCATAACTGTTGGTCATATTACTTTGCCTATTACTTCCTATTCTCCATTTGCTCAAGAGGCTAGAAAGGTGCTTTGGGGTGGGAGCAAAAGTGTAAGAATTAAATTACTTCGGAATTGTTTATAAGACTGTTCTCCACCATGTAAGTCCTCATTTTATCAAAAGAACTCAGGGTTTGAGGGAAGCACATACTTCTCACAGAGCTAGTAACTTTTGCTCTGTTCCCTAAAATGGGGAGTACATCAAATTCCTTTTTTGGGGATGAGCTTAGTATAACTACAGTGTTTAAACTGCTGCTTAAACTGCAATGGGGTATACTCATTTATATTATTTTACCTTCAAGCAAATACATTACTGAGAAAAGACAGCAAGATTACTGAGAGGGAAAAAAAAATCAGAAATCAATATTCTAGTTTCCAAGGATGGGAGAGAATTCAAATGACAGCTCAAAAATTAAATCCAGAAAGAGCTATGAACATGCTACTTCAATGTAAGGTATTACTACCAAGGTAAGAACACCCAAGATTCCATAAGACATAAAGAACTAGGGGGCAGAGGGCACATGTAACAGAGCACACAAAAATATTAATACAAAAAGGAAACTGACAAAGGATCAAGAAATTCACCTTTAGACGACTGGAGTCCAGCCTCAGGGCTGCAAGTAACGGATCCAGAGACTCAAACTCTGCAAGAACATGACTGTAGGCCTCCGGTATCACTGGCACCAACGTCATCTAGCCAAAACTGAAACTATGTTGACTAGTAGTCACAGTATTCCTGAAAAAAAAAAAACTGCAAAAATATAAGCAGCTCACCACTCATTCAGTATGCTTTTAATGAATATGTGGCGAAATAATACAGGAAAATCTGAGAAAGGAACAAGGATCCCTACTCTGGAGGTGCTTAGTATCTAGGTGGAAACACATAGGGAACATCATATGCAACCATCAGCTTGTAGTTTATCATTCTGACTCTGAAACTCCTAGAAAACCAAGTCCAGATTCTCAAGGCCTTCCATAATCCTACCCTACTCCATCTGACAGCATGTGCAAGTAGAATGAACACTGTAGGATTTAAGAGGAAAGGTGGTCAAGCTCCTGTAAGATAAAATAGCAAACCCAGCTGTATTTTTTTGAGTGGTAAATCTTCTGTCTTTAAGACTCTCACTTAAGGGCAGTCTTCCATAAAGGCCTCTAACTATAAGCAGTAGCAAATTGTGTGGTTATCAACCAACAATTTAATAAGAATTCTAACAGGAATTTAAATTAATCAGTGCTTAATAGGAATAGGCCTCTGGATCTCTTTCTCCAGTCTACCTGGGCCTCAATCAATTAAGTATCTGTTGAATGAATGAATGCACTTACTAATAAATAAGTGAGAAGATGCCTGGAGTTAAAGCACAAAGAAGAGTAAGAGCTTCAGTATGGGACCTGATAGGAATGATAGGAGTAAGAACACAAGGAAGCAAATGCCAAATACCCAGTGAGGACTCCGTGAACTAACTGATGAGTTCTTACCTATTCAACAACTCTCAAGTGTATGTCAAACTGCACCAATTTCCAGAAAAAAAAGAAATAAAAGAAAATTTAAGAAAATTCTGCCCATTTTCTTTTCTCAACCTTTTACCTGCCAAATTAAGAATAAAAAGCAAATGCTACACAAAAATTCAGAACATTATTCACACTTGTTTTAAATTACTTATACTTTGTTTTTAATTACTTTTCAGAGACACATGTATTCTATCATTTTATTCAACAAACGTACCTAGCACCAACTCTGTGCCAGGCATTGTACTGGGTCCCAGAGATACAAGATTAGACAAGTCAAAATCCTAAGGCTCATATCTTACTACATTGATGGACAGTGACTGCAATGGGGTGGGGGTGGGGGACTCGATAATATAATATGTGTGAATGTATAAAAAAAATTCTAAGGCTCACGAAGCACACTTCCCAGTGGCAAAACACACATGAACTTATGATAATTTTTATTGTATATACATAGTACACTCTTACTTTCTGCTAGTAAACCTAATTTTCTTAATACAGCTTGACCTCTGCAAGGAGAGTGGTGTTCTGGAAAAAAAAAAAACTTTAATAGTCTTACACTAAAAATATTTGAGAATTCATGATCTAAGAAAAATCTTCTCTTATTCTTTTCACTCATTCATTTTACTGAATACCTAGAAAAATATGAGGCACAGTGGTGAGAACAAGACAAATAATACCAGAAATCAGTCACTTTAATGGGGAAAAGAGACAACACACACACCTCATAAGGGAAACTTAAGCAAAGTGCTATGTTGGAACTTAAGAGGACAGGGGGGTCACATTAACTTCCTAAGGGAGGTAGCACCGGAGCTGAGCAGGCTTGTATCAGAAGGGAAAGAGAAAGCGTAGCAGATAGAGCAGCAATAAGATGTACTTGGAGAACACAAGTTTAGTCTTTAGTTGAAACACAGGGTACAAGGGAATAATGAAAGATAAAGCTGGAATGATAATTTGGGCACAAGTTACAAAACACTTTGAATCTCAAACCAGAGAGTGTGAACAAACTTTAATTTGGTAACAACAGAGAGGCGTTAAAGAATTTGATGCTGATTGATCACATAATTCCTCTGAATGCTGTGGGCAGACACTAGAAAAGGACTTGAGAAAAGGGGTGGGTGGTGAGCAAGTAAAGATAAGGCCTTTCCCTTACTCAAGAAATCTGGTGGAAAAGGAGGGAAGCCTCTCTTGACTTTCTGACCAGGAAAGATTCAAACAGATCTGTAGGTAGTAGCTAAAAGAAGAGTCTTTAGCATGAAAGGGACTGAAGATACAAGAAAAATAAGATAAAACCATGGTAAACAAAACAATCCTAAAGAAGATAGAAAGGAATGACTCCAAATGACGGTTTCTTTCTTCCACTTGGGATCTTAAACTCTGAGGTGGATAGGCCATTTTGTCTTGATCTCAGTGAAGAAAGAATGTCTTGGAAGTAATGATTTAATGGGGTAAAAAAAACCAAAAACCTACTTAAGTTCCTATTTTTTCTTTAAAAAATTTGAATGGAGATGGGAATGGAAAAGAAAGAGCATAAGCAATGTCAGTTCTCAAGAGAAGTTATTGGATGATAGTGTCAGGCAAACTCCAAATTTATACTTGTCTTTGTGCTTACTGTCTTCCTGAAATGATTACTTTCCCTCCAGATCTACTTATCCAAATCTACCCAGACTTCCAGAGTCAGCATAAGTCCCACTCCCCAGAATTCTCAGGGCAGAAGAAGACTCATAGGTAATTCAGTGCACACATCCACCTACTTCAGAAATTAATTTTGCCTTAGATCCATGAACATTCCCAGCAATGGAAAGGAAGCGCTCCCTCTCATAAAGGTGCCCATTCCACTACAGTTATAAGTCCTCTTTTAATATTGGGCTGAAACCTAATCACTTACAGCTTTTATTATTGATTCCTAACCGTGGCTTCTACAGTTTAAGAGAGTAAGTTTACTCCCTCCAAACAACCCTTCAGTGTTTGAAAAGTATATCGGGTCTTCTAAAAAGTTACCATTCCCACTTCTCCAATCATTCCTGACATGACAATTTCCAAATTCCTCTGTGTTCCTGGCAACCTTATACACAGGTACATTAGTTTGCCTGAAAATGTGGTGTCTAGGACTGAAGATAATGCTCCTTAAGTAGGTCAGTAACACAGCATAGAGTAGAAACACTAACTACCTTGACCTGGACACCAAGTTTCTATATTACAACCTAGATGGCATCAGATGTGTTTTTCAAGTAGACATGTCACACTTTTCATTCAACAGAGCAAGCTGTCAACTAAAGCCCAAATAAATCTCACATAAAATGAGTATCACCTTCCTAGCGAGGTTGATACCTTCCTATCACTCAGTACTTAGATAGGGTAGACTTGAACTCAAATTGAAAGCTATTAATCAAATGTGGCAAAGGATATAAAAAGTACCTAGAAAATTGAAAGCTCTGTACATACAAGAAGAGTAGACTGTTGATTGTGTACATGGGAGTTCATTGTAATACCCTGCCTACTTCCATCTGTTTGAAATTTTCCATAATAAGATTTTTAAAGTATATATTTAAATGTACACCTTCAAAAGCTCCCCTTCCTACACAATCTATGAACTCATCCTTCTTTTTCCAGCCTCCTGTCATCTTACCCTTTCTCCTACATGGGGCTATCTTTTGTTCCTCTTTCATTCCATACTTTTTGTGCCTGGAAACTTTAATATCTGCTGTTTCTTGAATCTTCTTCCATCTGACAAAACCCTATCTTTCTGCAGAGTTGGGTTTGATTACAACTTCTGTTAAGCCTGTCACACAGCCTAGCAAGAAACGAAGCAAATAAAAGGTGGTCAAAGTTATATGCTTACCAAAGTCAGTGAAACAACTTTAGGAGTTGGCTCACCCAAGGTCACAGAGCTTTTAAGAAGTAGAGCTGAAACAAGAGTCCAACTCCCCTAAGTCCAAATCTGACCATCTTTCCATTTCCCCACATTACTTGATGGTAACATAAACGTGTGGTAGAATCAAGAAAAATTTTTTTTCATCGCCTAATACTCACTCTGCTAACGGACCAGTGTTCGCTGCTGACACATCAAACGCAAATCACAGCGTTCTCTTTTCCCCACTAGGTGAGTGTAAGGAGGAAGCGCCAAAAGACAAAAGAAAGCAAAAAGTAAAGATATAGGAAGGGGAAGTAGATCCCCTACCCCCACCCCCGCACCGTTTCCATAATGGGATTTTTCCACTCGAAAAGTAATAATCAGAGAACAACTTATCGCGACAAGAAAATGGCGATTCACTCTTTCCTGCATTTAACACGACATGTACGCAACGCTGGAGACAATCGTTGCCCACTAGAAGCTCCCTGCCTAGCTTAACTACTAACGTTTTAGCCGCGATACTTTAATACTGTATTCAGACCTCTTGAGAGGAGCCTCGGTAACGAAGTTTTCAACGCCAGGCTCACTGACCCGGAGGTCTCTGCCCCGCTCTACCATCTCCAGGCTGGTTAGCGCCCAACCCTCAGTGGGACTGACTCTCTTGCCCAACTGGGCGCCGAGACACTCACCGCGAAACTAACAGCCGGACCTGAACTTTCGTCTCCTATTCCGCTCCGCCCCTCTCTAGCTTACGTCATCCAGAGGCGCCGAGGACGCGCTGTCCACGCTACTATCTGTACTCTTGTCACGTGATATGATACGCCCCGCCCCCCACCCCCCTTTTGAGCGTGGTCCCTCCCCTTCAGGCCGCGGTTGGGATTACGCTCTCCGAGGCCTGCTGTCTTGGGGCGGCTGCAGGCCAAAGACACAGCAACGACCAGGACCGGAGGAGCTCTAGGCCAAAGGGGTGAGCCAGCCAGGATCCCGGGACCCTTCATCGCCTGAGGCCAGCGAGAGGAAATGAAACAGGCGGGAACTGGCGGGGGAGGGAGGGTACTAGCGGAAGGTGTCATGGCGGCCGCACGGTGGGTCACGTGCCCCCGAAGGCCCGCCTTGGTACTTCCCGTCACGTGCCCACAGAGTTCTCGCAGCCAGCGATGGAGGCGAGACCCCCCAGTAACAGAGGCGGTGGCGACAGCGGCGGCTGTTGGGTTTCAGCCTCTTTCCGGCAGTGTTTCTAAGAAGCGCAGCGGAACTCGACCCAACCCAGCCTTGTTATTTACTCTCTGCCCAAGACCGTAGCTCCCACCTGGTAAGTTTAAACCGAGGAACGGGGGTGGATGGGTGGGTGAGTGGGTGAGGAGCTGACAGGCCCCGGAACTGCAGGACGGCATGGATTCTGCCCGGTTCCCTGTGTCCCTGTCGCTACAACTCTCCAGCCTGCCGCTTTCATAGCCGTTATTATCTTGAACAGAGGAAAGGATACCCCTAATCTACTTGGCTATGGGAAGCCTACCGTTCTACTGAGAGCAGGGACTCGAACATTTACGTAAAGCCACGATCAGACTTGGCTCCTGAGAATGCGGTATGAAGAGGCCTCTTCCTGGCAGAGGAGCCCTTCCCGTTAGGAAATAAACGTGCTGTTAAGTCTTTCGGTTTCTTTAAGAGAAGAACTTTCACCTTCGTGTCCACACACATTTTGCTTCGTCTGTCAGCCCTACCTCTTCTTAAAACCTACTTTACACGTGTGCCAGTCGAGACCCCATCCCGGTTTTGGTTTATACCCAATTTGAATGTCTAGTAATGATGAAAAATAGACCACCAACTCGTGGAAATACATAATTATTTTATAAATTCCCCTTTGGTCTCAGAGGCTAAGTGGACAAAGGAGGTGTATCCAATTGTTCTTGCCCATTAGAAGATCCAGTTTTAAAAACATACGGAATTTAAGTGGCTGAAATATGCTCTGCAGTACTTACTCCACAAAGGAGTGAAACAATTTCTCCCTACAAATTCTTATACAAGAAACTCCAGGATATAAAGCAGCGTGCTCTCGTGGAATTGAATTTAGGAGGACAAGCTGCACCCACTCAGCCTTCCCTCTCAGATCACAGTTTTAAAACCACTTTACTGGGCTTTGGTAGATAACCAAAGTTAACAGCCCTAAGCTAGATTTTTAAAAGTCAAAACCAGAGCAAATGAGACAGAGTTCATGATGGAAGAGAAGATAATCGCTAGTATCAAGCCTGTGGCTTACAGAAGGACTGGGCTCTGGAAAGAACTTTGTACCTTTTCGCAGATCGAAATCACTCATTTGGAAAAGAGGGACAGAAAACTTGGGGTCATTAAACCTATTCTGCTACCCTCACTCAGCCAACATTTAGCAGTGCAGCAAGTTGATAGGTTTGAGTTTCTTCTAGGTGACATTAAATACACATGGTAGTGCAAATGTTAAAAAAAAATGCAAATATAGAGAGAGCTCTTTAAAAATACTAGGAGGATTGGTGCAAGGAGAGAGAATCACTTAGAATGAACCAAATGATCGGCTCCAGTCAGTTGTGACTGCTTCCTGTATGTCCTGCCCTCAAGGCTTATTTGTATTTTCTCTCTGCCTATCTCTTTCCATCTTTTAGCCCTGCTTCTCTGTGCTGCGGGTTTTTTCCCCCAACCATCAGAACATTGTCTGGTGTACCTTGAGATTTCCTAGCATTTTGGCCACTGTTCCTACCTCATGGGTACAGCTGCTAGAGATCTCTTTTTGCCCCTCCTTCTCTCCTGCCTTTAACGTGGCAGTGTCAAGGCATCCATCTAACAGTCTCTCCTTTCCCCATTTTGATTACCAACTGATTGGTCTTTTCTCGATTTCAGCGTTGTACTCTTGTCAGCATGCAGTATTTATTACTAAAAATGAGCATACGTTTCTCTCTGTCCTGCATCTCTGTCGCATTTTCCTTTTTCTGCCTCTCCCTGCACTGCTGTAAAATGTAAAAGTATTTGGTCTTAACATTGCTACATCAGTTATTCCCTTAATATCTTCCATGTGTAACTATCCTTAAAACAGAACATTTTGGTCACTCTACATATTTCCAAGGTCTTACTCCCTGTAATGGCGAATCGTTAACATTTTTGGATTGCCTAATGGCAAGGCAAGCAGCATTCCAAACTCATTTTGTATTCTAGAAGATAACAGCCACTCTCTGTGTAATAATTCTCCTTTTAGAGGGGATAAGGAGTTTGTATTTCACTTGTTGCCTTTCTTTCTGCCCCATTTATCTCTGCACATTAGAAAAGGGATAGAAATGTAGAGATTAAGTAATTTAAATATTTCTATGGATAGTTTCAAAGTCTTCCTATCCCTGTTTCCTTAATGAGCCAGTTGTTGGAATCTGTGAGGAATGATACCCTAATCTTTGAGAGCTAAAGCGCTTCCTGAACTTTAGCTGAGGATGTATGTGGAAAGGTCTCACCAAGATTGTGTTCTTTTAACAACAAAGATCTTAAATAGATGTCACAAATATTTAGTGGACTAAAGGTCAGAATATTTTGCTGGATGCTGTACTGCAGTGAACACAACACACGTAACCTCTGCCCTTCTTTTTGAAGCTTGCAGTTTGTTGGGGGAGGCAAACATTTAAAAGAATTATTTTAATTAGAGTCCCGGTAAGTGTTATGAAGAGAAGAATAGGAGACCTTGAATAGTAACTTTCAAGCTTGGAGTAGACTAAAAAAATGAATAAAAGCCAGTTATGACAAGGAATGAGAATGTGCAGACGCTTAGAGCAAGGCATGTACATTTAGCTTCAGGCACATATTTTTAACTGCAACTGAAAATAATGCCTTCACTGGAGAATCTTGCTATTTAAAGAAGTCTTGTGGCAGATTGTTTCTTAAATAATCTTTATTAGCAAAGCCAGGTCTTCAAGCCAATTTATTTAAATGTAACTAGATCAGTATTTTTTTATAACAAAGTATCTAGTTCTCACAGAGTTCTACTGGGAAGAAGTTTTTGCCATCCAAGAAGCCATCCTCAAGAAAAATCTAGATATCACAGAGGCAATTGTAGGCTAGCCCCACTGGTTCTATTAAACTTCTAAAATCTTGTCCTTGTATAATTAGCAGGTGCTACAGATGACAAGGGAAATTTGCCAAGCAATGTCTCCCTATAGGGATTTTAATAAGAATGGTTTTACATGCTCTACTTAAGGGTCTTTTTCCCAATTGATTTCAAGTAACTGACTCTATATTGAAGTCAGTTCTGTCAGTCTAATTTATTCTCCACTTTAGAGTTTTTCTATCTTCACCCATCTTTTCTTTCTTACCTTCCCATGTCAAAAAAGCTTTTCTGTTCTCTTCCAAAGCTAACATTTTTTATTTGTGCCTTTACATAAGCCCAGTTAATTGGGGACCTGCTCTATGCTTATTCACTGCTTTTCCTCCACATATGAACATACTTAACATTATCCTATAATTATCTGCTTACTGCACCCCCCCAAAAGCCCTACCCTCCCATCTTCCTTAGTTTTTTTTTTTTTTTTGGTATCATTAATGTACAATTACTTGAACAACATTATGTTTACTAGACTCCCCTTATTATCAAGTCCCCCCAACATACCCCATTACAGTCACTATCCATCAACGTAGTAAGATGCTATAGAATCATTACTTGTCTTCTCTCTATATACTGCCTTTCCCGTGTCCCCCCCACCCCGCTACATTATGTGTGCTAATCGTAGTGTCCCTTTTTCCCCCTTCTCCCTCCCTTCCCACCCATCCTCCCCAGTCCCTTTCCCTTTGGTAACTGTTAGTCCATTCTTGGGTTCTGTGAATCTGCTGCTGTTTTTTCTTTCTTCCTTAGGTTTTAATTCATGTTTCCTAAAATATGGTTTGTATGGTATGCAATATAATTGTACATAGCACACAATAAATGTATGTAATATATGTACATAGTACACAACAGGTTTTTTATTTTAATATGTGTTTATTGTAGTGAATATTAGAAAGTTCATGTTAAAGTGTTTAATAGATGTTATAAAATTTCTGCTACAAATTAAGATTTTAAAACAATAAAAATACACATGATTATACATATTACAGAAATTGAAAATAACAGTTGTTTTAATTCTTACCCACTAACACTCTCTCATGTTACTTTATAAACATGTGGTTTGATAGGGAATAAACTCTTGAAAAAACATTTTGAATAACTACTGTTCTTATTGCAAAATACATATTTGTTGTAGGTAATCCAGAAAACAAAAAGAACATTCATATCATCTGTAATCCTATCACTCATAGGTAACCCACTATTAAATTGGGTGCATATCCCTCCAGTTGTATATATTTGCAGAACAGCATGGTAGAACTTCAAGGTCAGGCTGACCCAGATCCAAACCCAGTTCTGCTGTTTCCTTGATGCTTTGGGAAAACATCTTGATTCCTCAGACCCAGTTTACTTTATCTGCAGAATAGAACTAATAATAGAACCTACCTTAGGATTGTTAACTGGGTACTAAATGAGATAATGCCTATAAAGAACTTAGTCCCCTGCCTGGCATATACTAAGCATTCAATACATTTTGGATAGTTTTTTTAAAACTTAAAAGAGTATGGAATCAAACTACATGCTTTTTTTGCTTGCTTTTGTCACCTAACAGTGTATCCTTTCATGTCATTAGTCTTTTAAAACACTTATTTTAATTAGTAACTTTTAACTAGCAATAACCTCATCTTTTTTGTAGTGAATATTAGAAAGTTCATGTTAAAGTGTTTAATAGATGTTATAAAATTTCTGCTACAAGTTAAGATTTTAAAACAATAAAAATACAGATGATTGTACTGTGTTATGTATTAAAATTTTTAACCCTTTATCATACATGATACATGGATATCAACACTGTGGAGATTGTAAACAACATGGGGAAATAGGTTCAATAGCCAAGTGAAAAACAAGGTAATTAACAGGTGTACCTAATGATTACATTCATAAGGTGGGTACAGATAAGATAAGCACAATTTAAAATTAAGAAAACTGATGTTAGGGTTGTGGGATTGTGGAATTTTTAAATCCTTTTGTTATTTAGCTTATTAGGCTCCATCCCAACCATTAAAAATGCCTGCGTGATAGAGGCTATCTCTACCTGCATGACTCAGCAGCACCTCGCACTCATCCAGAACTGAATTCCTTGTCTTCCTGTTCATACCTGTTCTTCTTTCTTACTTGTTTCTGTAAATGGCACAACTGTACCCATGTCAGTAAACCTTAAAAATGGGGTATGAGCAAGCAGCTGTGACACCTCCATCAGCACTTAAAATGTCTGTCTGTCCTCAGTACCCTTCCTTGTCCCTTCCTCTCTATTTTCACTGCCTCCTGGCTCAGACCCTTTCTGGTCCCTTTCTTCAGTCTCTCAGATTACCCACAGATTATTTCCTAAAATACAAATCATTCCCCTATTAAAAAGTCTTTAGAGGTGTTCTGTTGTCTACTGCGTAGTGTGGAATTCTCCACTGTGTGCCTCTGTTCTTAATCACCCAACTTCACATCCCACTGATCCCCAGCATGAACTTTATGATATATCCAGCGCTGACTGCTTACCCTTCCTAGAGAGCCTCAAGGCTTTGCCCCAAACCATTACCTCTGCCCACAGTGACTGTTTCCCTTCATCTGTCACGATCCTCATTCAAGACCCAATTCATAACTAAGTTATATGAAAAAAATAAGCTGATACATGTACTAATATAGTGAATTTCAAAAAGTACGTTAAGCAAAAAGAGACGAAAGAATACATCTGGCACAATTCCATTTATTTGGAATCCTAGAACAGACAAAAACTAACCTGTTGTGATAGAAATCAGAAAATAATTTGGAGGGTGAGAGGAAGAGAACTGACTGGATAGGAACATGAAGATGTTCCTGGATGATGGAAATATCTTTGTCTTGTTTGGGTAATGGTACATGAGTGTATTTTTGTCAAAGGGCATCAAACAGAACACCTAATACATGCATTTTGTTGGTTTGTTAATTACACCTGAGACCTTTCTTCCATGTGAAGAAATTGCCTCTGAGACCTGATCTAGGCATATATTGTTTCCCTTTTTGGACTTCACACATTCTAATTTGTGTATACACACACACACTATATCTTGCTCACTAAACTGGAAGCTTTTTGAAAGCAGAAATCACTACTGACAGACATTTATCTTGAGATAAGTACATAGGAAGTAACAAACCAGGAATCAGCATGGGTATGGTTTCAGCTCTGGGAGTGCTTATGGAAAGGTCACACAAATCCTGTGGCCCTAAGTTGTTTTTGTCTAAATAAGTTTGGACTAAATATTCATTAAAGTTCTGTTTAATTGTGAAGCTCTACAAGTCTAAATACAGATTTTAAAACATTTTGTAGTAAAATTATGTTTCAGATTTAAAAATACAATTGAGGAAATTAAAAATAAATTGAAATACTCTGATTAGCAATGTAGATATGGTTTAAAAATTGCCAGGTGTTATAAATATATACACCTATGGTATGAGTAAAATGAAATTTTATTTTGAAGGAATAATGCTATCCAACTTTACCTTCATCTTTGAATGAGGAAAGAGACTTTTTTCCTCATTATTTAAGTTATAGATTTGGAAGGGACTCTGGAAGTCAACAAACCTGACCGTAATTGAAATGTGAAATCTTTTTGTCTCTTAGCACCTTCTAGCCATCATGGCAACTTCATCTGAAGAAGTTTTGCTGATTGTGAAGAAGGTGCGTCAAAAGAAGCAAGATGGAGCTCTGTACCTCATGGCAGAAAGAATTGCTTGGGCACCTGAAGGCAAAGATAGATTTACAATCAGCCATATGTATGCGGATATTAAATGTAAGTCAACTCTACCAAGGTCTGATGTATGTTGTAGTAATTCTTTAAGAAGGTTGTTTGTATAATCTTTGTGGATTTTTATTATTACATCCAAATAATCAACCATAAAGAAACTATTACAAAGTGAAATCACTGAGTATATATATTTATCATTCTATAACTTGGCTTTTCTACTTAATAATAGAGTGTGTAGTTTACATATGTAAACCTACCTCAGTAAATACCTCCACACATACCTTATTTTAAGAGCTGTGCAGTACTCCACTGTGGATATACAATCATGTATTTAATAGTCCTCTGCTGAAGGGCATTAGGTAACTTTTACAGAATTTTGTTACTGCAAACAATGTTGCAGTTTAGATCTGTGCACTAATATATTTGTGAATTTGTGTGTATAGGATGAATCCTTGCAGAGGATTTACTGTTTCAAATGATTTATGCATTAAATATATTGATAGATGATGCCAGATTGCCCTTTAATAACATTGTATCATTTAAGCAGGCTGTCAAATCTTTGGTTATGTGACCATCATCTGTTGAGAAGATAGACTCGGTTTTATATTGACTATAGGTGGAGAAATACGGAACATAACATTTTTATATCCTTTTTGTGATTTTTAAATATGAAGACAAATCAAAACCCCTTCTCTTTCCAAATTTGCAAGATTTTACTTTGGATTTATTACTCAAAGTACGTGGTGCCCTGTGAATCAATAATAATTAGGTTTAAAAGCACCAAGTGAACCCTGGAATTTAGAACCTTAACTCTGAAAGGATTTCTGTAATTCACCTAACTAAAGATCTTCAATAGGAGACCCCAGAGGAGTCTGGTAACAAGGCCCTTCATAAATTGTGGTATCTTAACTGTGACCATTAATATGGATCCATCTGTTTTCCTGGATGTAAGATTCTTCCCCTAGATAAAATCCTGTATAGATTTCAAGGAACATGACACCTTGAAAAATAGACAAGCCTCAATATGCAGGAGCTCAATTTACGAATGTCTTTTGAGTATGAAATTTCCCTAAGGACTTCTATTTTGCTTCTGGAACTGACTAAATTCCTCATCTTTCTGCACTAAAATAACTTAGGATCTTTTCAAAAGGAAATACTTTTTAAAATTCATAATTCTTAAGCTGTCTATTCTGGTAATGTTACCTCCTTTTAAAACTTGGTTTCAATGGGAAAATATCTAACCAGGTTCCTGATAATAATCTTATAAACTGACATTTGTACTACAGTAGATTCATAAACTAGGAACTGCTTGTATTAACGTTTCTCTTCAACAGAAAGTTAGCCCTATAGTTTTGCAAAACATACTGTGATACTCTGCAATAAAAAATATGACTATCTTATTTCTTGACATTTCTTCTCAGCTATTGGGGAGGAGAGCACACATACAAATCTATATCTGCACCAGATCAGTTTTCATTTTAAGGTGAATATTTGAAAGAATACCCATTTCTGAAAGAAGCCATTGAAAGTTACCAATAATAAATTAGCAGTGTAATAAGCTAGCTAAAAACCTTCAGAACTATATCTCTCACAGGCAAGAGCTAAAATAGAGCAAGGATAAAGCAGTGACTGAGAAAAGATGCCTAGAAAGGAGTAGTTTGTGTTGGAGGAATGGAAAAAGGGAATAGGGTGGCTGATGGTGTAAATTGCTTAATGTTACTACTTTAGCAGTAAGATATTTCATCCAAACTGTTGGTCTGGAAGGAGCATCTCCATAGAAAAAGTTTCTGTTTATTTAAGGGTTAGTAGTTACTTGGGGCTGAGAGCTCTAGGAAGCATGTTCACATTGCCATGAGTCACCCATTCAGTGGGACAAAGCCCCTCCATGAAGAAAACAAAGCAGTAACATTGCCATGAAGCCCACTCTTTAAAACTACAAGTCCTCTGCTCTGTAGCTATATTTTGATATTTCCAGCCCCAATTTATTACGAAGATCTTCGAAGTTAAAGAATAAAGGACGGTTTAGTATATAGCTATATAACTTAATCCACCTAAATAAAAAGTTGTTGTTTTGCCATACTCTATTACGTGTGCATACACTTCTACTGCTTATAATATTTTTGCACAAGAAAAGTTTAATAATAAGCATCTAGCATTCAGACCATTGCTGCATTTCCCCAGTTGTCCTGATAATGTTTTTTATAGCTGTGATTTTTTTTTTTAATCAATATCCAGTCTAGGTTCGAGTATGTATTATAGGCTTATAGAATATCACACATTCTGATTATGTCTGATTGTCTTCTTAAGATTTTGTTTAATTATTTCTCTATGCCTGTATTTCTTACAAACAGAAAGTCAGGTCTTACAGACTTGATTACACTCAAACATTTTCAGCAAGAACACACATAGGTGGTGGTGGTTACTTCCTATTCTATCACCTCGGAAAGCCCCTTCCCTCGGTTGTCACGAGGGTTTTAATGAAGCTAAGTTTGATCACTTGGTTAAAGTGGTGACACCAAATCTCGCAAATATAAAAAATAAATATTTTCCTGTACAATTAGTAAACAAGCCATGGGCTGTGTTTTGGAGTTTTTTGAATCATGACAAATCAATTTTATTAATACGATATTGATTGGAGGCAGCCGTGTAGGGTGGATTTAGGACTCCTAGTTGTCTGTTGAGAAAGCTTTAAAGAGGTCTGCCTAGTTGCATGGAAACAAAAGCCCTTTAGCATCTGGGGTGAAAGCAGTGGGTGAGAAGTGCCGCCACACAAAAAGGTTACTGAAGAAGGAGGCAGAGTGTTAGTGAATTTGTTGAACCATTCTCTCGTTATATGGGATTATTTGAAAAGAGTGTATTTCTGCAAAATCATCAAGATTGGAACAGGGCAGGTAAAGCCCAGAGGAATCCTGAATCTTCCTGGGAGGAGAAGTAATCTATTGTATGGCAGTTTCCCTCATCTAATTAGCCTCATGGTTTTTTCTAGGCCAGAAAATAAGTCCAGAAGGAAAAGCTAAAATTCAACTTCAGCTGGTCCTACATGCAGGGGACACAACTAACTTCCATTTTTCCAATGAAAGCACAGCAGTGAAAGAACGAGATGCAGTTAAAGACCTTCTACAACAGCTGCTGCCCAAATTCAAAAGGAAAGCAAATAAGGAACTGGAAGAGAAAAACAGGTGAAGGAGGAGAATAACATTTTGAAGAGATGCCAGTTTCTCTCCAGATTCTTAGTGCAGTAATAGCTTGTTATTTCTCACCTTTTGTGCTTCCATAACATAATATAGAAAAATATGGGCTTTGGTATCTTTAGCTCGGTTTGGTTCTCAACTTTAGCATCTTACTAGCTATTTGGCTTTGGGTAAATGAGGATGTATAAACCCAGAAGTTAAATTAACTGCCCAAGCCCAGCATCTGCTTAGGAACAGAACTAAGATTGGAAAGTGCTAAGGTCCCTAAATTCCTTTTCATAGTTTATTGTTACATAGAAGGTACTAAACCATTAAAAGTGTTTTTGTGAATAAGAAACCTGAAAGAAATCATATTGTAAAAAGTTAAGAAAGCATGTAAGATAATGGTAATTTCTGATAAGAGAATTCCATCACCAGTATCTTTCAGGCCATCTGTGCTTATGGCTCCAAGTGCTTATGAAAAACTAGTTGCTGGAAAAACTCAAGCATACCACCTCTCTTCCCCATTCACCTTTATTTGTGAGAGATAATACAGTACAGTAGCCTTTCTATCCCTGGGATACAGAGATGAGTAAGACCATATCCATGCCCTCAGAGAGTTTAGTCTTTGCTTCTTCAGACTTACTTCCATTTATCTCCACTTAATTTGTTCCTCCAAATACATTTTTTTGCTTTTAATTATTAACAAGTGAATTAAGCAACCTCTGCTGCTCAACCATCAAAGGATAAAAGTTCTGTTTCCTGTTATTAAGGTCTCTTTAAGATTTTACCCAAATGGTGTTTTATTCCAGAAGTTCAATATATTCAATATATTCTATCACCAGAATGCTGCAAGAAGATCCTGTTTTGTTTCAGCTTTACAAAGATCTTGTCGTGAGTCAAGTGATCAGTGCTGAGGAATTCTGGGCCAATCGTTTATGTGTGAATGCAACAGAGAGTTCTTCCACATCCAATCATAAGCAGGATGTTGGTATTTCTGCAGCATTTCTGGTATGTGACCCTTCTAGATTTCTGAAGAAGAAAAAAAAAAAAAACCAGTATGTGTGTTAACAGTGCCATTTCTTTTGTAAAAGTTAGCATTTCCGTAAAGCAAATTAACACTTCAGTATCCATGGCATTCTTCTAAAATATCTTTTAAATTATACAGTATTTTTTTAATATATATTTCTTTTTTGCCAGTTTTATATGCTTGGTTTTTGGACTTGACCCTAGCATGCTGAAAACCAAATGGACCTTTGAAAGAGAATCTTTTAGCAATTGGACTAATACTTTTTCCCCTAATACTAATACATTTAGGGCTTCCTGATACCTTTTTTTAATGATTACTATATTTTACTTACATTGCAAAGTTAAATGTATATAATGACCATCATGTTATAAAAAAAAGTAAGATTTATAAAATGTAGCTTAGAAATTGAGAATACCTAACCCATGGAATTAGAAAGTGGGATTCATTTAGTTTATATTCTGGTACCAAAGCAGTATCTAAACATTTTACAAAAATGTAAGTACCAGTTATGTTTGGCATCTTTCTGGGTGCTTAGTAGTGAATTTAATTAACAGATTTTCCTCAAGAAATCAGTCATATTTAATTATTCAGTAACCAGGGTTTATAGTGGTTTTGGTAACTACAGATTTTATGTTAAAGCTCTACTAGCTATCTGCCTTTGGCCACACTTAAACACACCTATTTGACTATATTCAATTTTTAGGAAGTAGATTTTACAGGTCACTAAGATTATGTGCAACCAGGCCAGGCTTCTTTGAGGCTTGTCTCTGATAAAAAAGTAAAGGTGAGGGACTTACCTCTGTCCCTGTAGTTTACTCAGAAAGTCTGCTTTTCCACCTTTGTCCAATGTCTACTGGTTGTTTAGACATCTTCGCTTGATATTATAATGAATATATACATGTATCTGTGTATGGTCTTTATTTTAGGCTGATGTCCGGCCCCAAACAGATGGATGTAATGGTCTGAGATACAATTTAACCTCTGATATCATTGAGTCCATATTTAGGACCTATCCAGCTGGTAAGAAGAATCAGTTCTTCCAAATAGTTAAAGTATTAGTTTGGATGAATTCAGTAATAGATCAATAAAAAACAAAATGCTTTACCTTTATTCCTGATCAAGTGCAACAAAATATGTCAAGTAATTTACCCAGTGCCTAACATGATATGCTGTCATCAAATTATTGGTATTATGTCTAATTCTTCCCATCTGTAGTTGTTACCCCTTCAGCATACCTGATCAAGATGACATGCTTCAGTGATACCAATAAATGAGTCTCTCTACAGCACTAACTTAGATCATCCTTCTTGCTGATTCTCAAGTGACCTTTCTAACCCACAAATCATTTTCCTTGCAGAATCCTAAAAGTGTAAATGTCTTAACCCCAGCCTTGGTGATTTATGATGCATAGAAAGGCTAAGAGCCATGCCTCAAAGTCATTCTACTCACTGAACAGTCCTCTATAAGCCGTATGCTTTTCTCTTTTCCCATTTCCTCACTCCTGTCCCTTTAGTCCTTAGGAAGCTTACCTTTCCCACAGGACTCCTCTCAGGCATCACCTTATTGCTGCCTCTATAAAATCCTGACTGACTTGGACAGATGTAAGCCTCCACCCTTTGCTTGTGTAGGGCCTTGCCTCTGCCTCAAAGAGTTAGCACGTTGTAATTATTTTCATTTCTTTTTAATAACAACACCGTAATTGGATAATGTTTACTGTGTATCAGATGCTATTCCAAGGCTAACATGCATGTTTTTTGATACTTTTTTTATTGAAGTATCACTGATACACAATCTTATATTGGTTTCAAATGTACACCACAGTTGTTCAACAGTTACCCATATTATTAAATTCTCACCCCCTCTAGTGCAGTTACTATCTATCAACATAGACAGATGTTACAGAATCATTGACTGTATTCTCTATGCTGTACTACGGTCCCCATGACCAACTTATATTGTGATTTTTATCCCCCTCACCCTCCCTCCACCATCTGCCTCTCCCCCTCCCCCTTGATAACCACTAGTCACTTCTCAGTGTCTGTGAGTCTACTGCTATTTTGTTGCTTCTCTTTTGCTTTGTTTTTATATTCCACAAATAAGTGAAATCATCCTACATGTATATTAATCATCACAAATATTCAATGAAGTAGGTATTGTTAATAACCCACATATTACAGATGAAGAAACCAAAATACAGAGAATAGTTTGCCCAAGGTCATACATATAGTAAGTGTGTGAATATAGAACTTTAAACTCAGTCTCTCTGGCTCAGGATTCAGTGCTCTTAACCCCTTTGCTCATTGGGCTGAGAGCTCCTAAAGAACCAAACTGATAGTCCACTGGGTGCTGAGATCTGTATTTCCCCAGCACTTAAAACGGTGTCTTGGCTTGAGAGTGCACATGTATTAATGATCAAACGAACTCAGTTGAGACTCCAAGATTCTTGACGTTTCTGAAACTTTGAAACATGTTAATTCTCTTGGTGCAAAATAGGGTTTTGTTTGTAATTTGTTAAACAATTTCATGATCTAGTTTTTGCTATGAGTTTATGTTTCAACTATTTGAGAGGTTTTAAGAAAGGGAAATTCAGTATGTAATTATGTTTTTTTCCGCAGTAAAAATGAAATATGCAGAAAATGTTCCCCACAACATGACAGAAAAAGAATTCTGGACACGTTTTTTCCAGTCACATTATTTCCACAGGGATCGGCTAAATACAGGGTCAAAGGACCTCTTTGCAGAATGTGCCAAAATAGATGAAAAAGGTAACTGTTTATCCCTGACATACTGTGGCATTCAATTTGCTGCTTTCTGGTCACTGGAGCTATCAGTGAAATTTATTTAATTTCTGAGAAAGGTAAGACTTGGTCAACTTTTTATTTCATTGATTTTCTAGGGTTAAAAACAATGGTTTCGTTAGGAGTGAAAAACCCACTACTTGATTTGACAGCTTTGGAAGATAAACCATTAGATGAGGTAAGTAGTAGTAAAAGGATTTATGAAGGTAAATAGTCTTTTCCTAGTAGTCAACATATAGTTTATAGTTTTAAAGTAGCCTTATTTGTAGATGTTCCATTTGTGAAAATGTAAAACAAAATGTTTTCGAGTGATTTATCAGAAGTGCTTTTCAGTAGTACTATTTGCTATTAAAATTGCCTTGGAGAACTGAAATTCCTATATAAATTGTTAAAACTTTTTTAAAGGAATTTTCTAGATTTCTCCATCAATAGTTCTCTAGGTAATAATGAAGATTTAACATGTTGATGTATCCAGCTTTATGCTCTAGCTGACATTAAATAGGAATAAATAGTAGTAGACAAAGATAACAGACTATCAACATAGACAGATGTTACAGAATCTTACCAGCTGGTTAGGTCCCTTTCTTAAAACAGAGTATTTGCCAAACCTTGAGCACACTCATGACCCTTACCCCCACAGTAGCCTCAGTATGTTTTAATAGCTAGACCATCAAGTATGAGCCGCTTACGTCAGCAGCATCATAGAGAAAGATGATCACTTTTGATGAAGGCTGATTCTATCACCGTGTCTATCTTCTAGGCTGGGTACCTCTAATTCTAGGCTAGGAACCTGCTATCTTCAGTTACTTTCTTAACACTCTTAATTTTCTTCCCCTTCTTTTGGCTCCTTTTCTGTTGGCCATATACACATGCTCACACTGTCTTTTCCTTTTTTTTTTATACCCCAACTTCTCTTATATTAGTGTGTGTACTCATGTGTACTCACCAGGTGAAAAACCAACATTAAAATTTTAACTTACAGTCTAAATGATAAATTAACAGAAAATAATCCTTGGTGCCCAGTGAGTTGTTTTCTTAATGAAATTCAGTTGCTTTCTTAGTAAATACCAGCATTCTCAACACATTACAAACATGGCCATCTTTAATCATCCTGAAAAAGTGATGCTTTAGTGAAGCCTAGAGATACAGCTTCATATAAGAAAAAATTGTCCTTCCTTCCTCCCTTCCTCCCTCTTTTTTTAATAAAAGAGATCATGTCTTACACATGCACATGTGTGACTTTCTTCTTCACTTTGTCCATTATCAGTATCAGTCCAAGCTAAATGGACCATAGTTGTTAAGTACATAGACTCTAAAACCAAACTACCTGGCTTAGACTGTCATTTTATAATGTATCTAGGCCCCATTTTCTTAGAAAATAAGGTTAATATGATCTTAGTATAGGAAAATTGGGGAGGTGTAATTTAAGTGTACAAACTTACAACTAGTAGATAAGTTCTGGAGCTATAATGTACAACATAATCACTATATTATAAATTTCAAAGTTACTAAGAAACTAGATCCCAGTTGTTCTCACCACAAAAAAGAAATGATAAGTGTCCATCCATAGATAATGGAAAAAGAAGTGGTATGCAAATATACAGTGGAATGTTACTCAGCCATAAAAAAGAATGAATGAAATCTTGAGACTCACAGCAATCTGGATGGACCTAGAGCATATTATGCTAAGTGAAATGAGTCAGTTAAAGACAAATACCATATGATTTCACTTTCATGTGAAATCTAAAAACAAATGGACTCAAATACAGAGAACAAGTTGGTGTTTGCCATAGGGGAGGGAAGTGGGGGAGTGGGTGAAGGGGATAAAGAGGTATAAACTTAGAAGTCAGTCACAAGGATGAAAAGTACATCACAGGGAATATAATCAATGATAGTGTAATAACTGTATATTGACAGATGGCAACTACACTTCTGGTGAAAATTTCATAATGTATATAATTATGAAATCACTTGTACACCTGAAACATAATATTGTATGTCAACTATACTTCAATATAAAAAAGTCTGATAAAAATTTAAAAATTCTAATATGTGACATGATAGAGGTGTTAGCTACAGTAGTAATCATATTGCTATATATAAATATCAAATCAAGACATTGTATACCTTAAACAGTGTTTTATGTCAGTTATATCTCAATTTTTTAAATGCCAAAAGAAATACTGACCTTTGACCTTACAGGATTGCTGCTAGAGTTAAAAGGAGCCTGGTACATAGTAAGTTCTCAATAAGTAATAGGTGTTACTATTATCATCTTTTTTTTTTTTTAAGTGCCCACACAGTATTCTATCTAGATACAGAAACATTTATATAACCAATCCCTTTAATAGAAATGGTTGATTCAGATTTCCTTTGGTGCCTCTCCTGTCATCCTCCAGTTGTTGTAACTGTCTCAGTATGGTCTTGGGCCTTCTCCTGAATAAATTCTCTCCATTCCATTGCTTTTAATACTAATAATGAAATGATGAATCCCAAATAAGTGGTCCGTGTAACCATACATATCCATTTGCCTACTTGGTAGCTTCACATAGTTATTTCATAGGCATCTGAACATAGCATGTTCAAAATGGAATCTTTGATGGCCATCCTCATAAACCTTTCTTCGTGAGACTTGCTTATCTCAGTGAAAAAAATATTACCATGGACTGAGTTGCTCAAGACTGTTACCATGGTCTCCTTGATTCCTCCCTTTATTTCATCTCCAACATTCAGTTCAAAAGTATGGCCTCTTATAAGGCTTTTCTTAATTTGGCCTCTGCCTACTTCTTCCTGAATTTGGGCCACTTCTTCTCATTCACACTTCAGACGTAAAATGGACTTACTTTAGGCTGTCCAAAGCCTTTCCTACCACACAACCTTTGCACTTGCTGTTCTTTCTTCTTGCTCATACCTGACCAGCTTCTCTCCATCTTTTTAGACATGTTCTAATGCCACTTTTTCAGAGAGACCCTCCCTAACCTCCCTGTCGAAAGTAGCACATGGCATGTATTAAGCATTCAGTAATTCTTTGATAAATGAAGGAATGGCAAAATCTTTTTATGATCTTTCTTTTATGTCTTTAGCCTGTGTCTCACCATTGCCTAGCCCACCCTTCATTCCAGATGTACTGAACTACATACAAACCCATGAATGACAGTATGTCTTACATTGTTTCTATACCTTGAAGTGTTGTCTCTATGTCTGCCGTGCAAGCACCTGTTCATATTGTAGTGCTCCATGAAGTTTTTCAAACCTATCCCTATGCTCTTCTAGTGAAATAGCCCACTTCCTCTCAAGCACCTGTAAATCTTAACTCTGTGTATTGATTATAGCCCAGCATCCCACTAACTGATACTTTGGCTCCTTTGACACTGGGTCTTATTTACTCTCTATTTACAGGGCCTAGCACATAGTATGTGTTCAGTACATATTTGAAAATATCTCACTTAATTTTCCAAAATCACATTTTATAAAGCTTAGGAAAGTAGATTTAATTTGCCTAGACTAATTTTTGAAGTGATAAAGTCAGGATTTGATTCCATATCTTTCTGACTCCAGAGTCCATGCTTGCTTTCCACTATATTCTGTTTCCTTAGTTTAATTATTTTGTTAACTAGGTCCAGAATTGCTCTTTAAAAATTTTCAGAGTTTAAGATTTTTTGTGTATGATGCTAAACGGAGTTAGTGGTATTTCTTGAGTTTTATGTGTAGGATGGCATTTTTTAAATAGTTTACCTGTAAATTTTTAATAATGCTCAGAATTAATGAAGTCCCATCATCTAGAAAATTTATTTTCAACTGAGCGTGTTGCTCATAACAGATAGAAAAACTGGAACTTTATTTTGACTTTTAATCTACTAAATTATTTCTCATAGGGCTATGGCATTTCCTCTGTGCCATCTACTTCTAATTCTAAATCCATGAAAGAGAATAGTAATGCTGCCATCATCAAGAGATTTAACCATCACAGTGCCATGGTCCTGGCAGCAGGTCTCAGGAAACAGTTAAGTATACATGCAAAGGTGCAGTAAACTGGGCTTTCCAAGATAGCCAGATGGAGTTGTTTGCTGTTCTTCAGATTTTTAACATAGTTTTTTTCCTTTGTTTTAAGAGAAGCACAAAATGAACAAAATGGTGAGCCCAGCAGCACTGATGGAAATTCCGGAGATGCAGACTGCTTTCAGCCAGCAGTCAAAAGGGTATGGGTAGAAAGTCTGGAACATACAGGGCTCAGGTTTCTCCTGATACCTTATGTAATTTCTGGTATTTCATGTTGATTCTTGATTATTTCAAATGACTCAGTTCTTCTGCCCAAGACATAAAGTGTTTGGCTTAAATTGTAAAACATCTTAAGAAGTACCTCCTCAGTTTGGGCTTGCCAGCCAACTTCCATGGATTCAATCTGTTAACTGTTTTTATTTTCTTTCCTTTCACATGTACACATACATATTGACATATAATTTTATTTTCTGGGAAGGAGTATTTTGAATAACTGTTGTTGAGTAAGAGTTGAATAACAAAGGCAGTATGACAGAAAAAAAAAAAACTAAAGGCTTACACGCATGGTTTTAAAAGTTAGGATTTGGCCCTCATATTAAACCTTGCGTTTCAGAGCTGAAAATATCTTCTTATTAAATATTAAAGAAGTTGCTTGGGTATGGGGGAATATGGGCAGTTACATACTGGAAAATTCCTCTTTCCCTGTAAATTTGTCAACTATTCTGTCCTTTGGTTTACCTTTCTCCTCAGTTATAAAAAGAAATTACGATAAAACTTTGAGGGCAATCAGGCAGATGTGTTAAAATTGTAAAGATTTATGGTCTTAATTCCACTTCTGGCCAGTATCCCATTTTGGACATTTTATTTTAGAAAAAAAAGATGTTCAATGATTTAGATACATTACAGTATTATAATAGAGGGAATAGCAAACATCCTGATATCTGTTGACATCCATACAATGGAAATTGATGCAACCATTAATGACTAAAAGGATTAATGGTATATTGAATTATAACAAGTTCACATGTGCTATAACAATAGTTCATAAAACATTAAATTCAAGAAACCAATTTTGAGTTACCTAAATTATTAGGTGGTGGGAAACAAAAATGAATTAAGACAGAATTCAGCCCTCAAAGCTTTTAGTATCTATAGGTGAGGCAAAATCAAAATAATTAAGAAGTAAAATTTAAAGTAATTGTGTTATTTACAATAGGGACTAAAGAGAATAAAAAAATTAGAGTTCATAGAATAGACTATATGACATAATTTCATATGTACAAAAAAGTTAATAAACTTTAAAAAAGGCCTTGAAAAGAATATACTAAATAATTATCTTTCTGTAAAGGGATTATGGATGAGTCTTATACTTCATTTCATCTATTTCAGTAACTTCATGTCTCTACAATCATATGCACCTTTAAAATTAACAAAGCCAATAAAATAATTATTTTCTGAAGTAAGAAAAGTGAAACTAAAATGTAAATTGTAGAGAGACATTAGAAGAACTCTTGGAAATCAAACATATAGTCATATCTGACTTGATTGTTTATAGTTCATGATGCGTGATCAAAATCGAAAGTTTCTGTGATATGACTGCCCTTGCACTGTTCACCATGTAAGAACTTATTCACTATGTAAGAACTTGTTCACCATGTAAGAACTTGTTCGTTATGCTTCAGAAGATTGGAGACTGTTGAGAAATAGGCTTGGGGTTGATTAGTGACTGTGCATTGAGTCCCCTATACAGAATTTTATTGTTAACAACCATTTGATCAATAAATATGAGAGATGCCCTCTCAAAAAAAAAAACAAAACTTCTAGCAGAAAACATTTGTGACCTTGAGTAGATGAAGATTTGTATATGATACCAAAAGCACAATCCACATAGTAACAAATTAACAAATCTGACTTCATCAAAAGTTAAAACTGCTCTTTGAAAGGTGCTATTAATAAAATAAAGAGACAAGCTACAGACAGAGAAAACAACAGTTGCAAAGCATATATCTGATAAAGACCTTCTATCCAGAATATATAAAGAACATACAAAAAGAAAATAAATGACCCAAATTTTTAAACAGCAAAATATTTGAATAGTTACTTCACCAAAGAAGATGTCCAGGTGGTAAATAAGTACGTGAAAAGATGCTCAACCTCATAAGTCACCAGGAAAATGCAAATTAGAACCACAGTGAGATCCACTATACATCTATTAGAATGTTTGAAATTAAAAAGATTTGCTATAGCAAGTATTTGTATGAGGGAACCAGAACTATCATACACTGCTGGAGGGAATGTAAAATGGTATGACTATTTTGGAAAACAGGAGTTCCTTAAAAAGTCAAGTGATATGATTTAACCACTCCACACTAGGTATTTACATTTACCCAAAAGGAAAGAAAGAATATGTTCATACAAAAAGTTACATACAAATATTCCTAACAGCCTTATAATGATCAAAAACTGGAAGCAACATATCTGTCCATCAATAGGTAAATAGATTTTAAAAAATGGCATATCCACATAGTGGAGTACTAAGCCATTTAAAAATACTGATACATCTTACAATGCGAATGGATTTCAGAATAATCATGCTGAATGAAAGAAGCTAGAAACTCCACCACACACAAAAAGAGAATACATATGAGTCCATTTCTATAAAATTCTAGAAAATGCAAACTACTCCATGGTGACAGAATGCAGAGCAGGGTTGCCTAGGAATAGTGTGAGAAGGGAACACAGAAGGATTATAAGGCACATGAGAGACTTTCAGGGCAATAGATGTCCTTATTATCTTTATTGATTTGATGATGTATTGGTTTGCTTGGGCTACTGGTTCAAAGTACCATAGATAGAGTGGATTAAACAACAGAAATTTGTGATCTCGTGGTTTTGGAGGCTGGAAGTGTGAGCTCAATGTGTCAGCAGGATTGCATCTCCCAAGGCTTGACTTGCAGACAGCCCTCTTCTCCCTGCATCCTCACAGGGTTCTCTTTCTGTGTTCTGACGTCCTGTTTGTACAAGGACACTAGGTATACAGTTAGGGCCCGCCCTAATGACCTCATTTTAACTTAACCACCTCTTTGAAACCTTATCTCCAAATAGAGTATCATTCTGATGTTGTGGTATTTAGGACTTCAACATGGGAATTTGGGGGCATGCAATTCTGTGCACGAGATATGGTTCCACAGCTGTACACCTATGTCAGATTGTGTGCTTTAAATAGGTGTAATTTATTGTATGTTAATTATACCTCAATAAAACTGATTTTTTGTTAAATATCAAAAAAAAAAAAGAAGAACTCTTGGAAGTTACTCTTTTCTTTGTAATACTATTGGTGCTAAATGCCCTTGATTCTTGTTAGTGAAAGTTGTCAAAAGTCATTGCATGAATTTTCATAATACTCTGTAATAGAGGTTGACTCTAGGTATTCTTTCAAGTCAGTAGCTGTCTGCTGTGTGTTCTACAAAGGGCTTTATAAAATGAGATTAGGAAGTAATAGTCTTAACATTTATGGAGCTTTCAGTTAAGTATGAAAGTCAAGTGACCTAAGGAGGTCTTGGCAGAATTTCAGGATTTGGATTATTATGGGAGATTAGGGAGGGACTGATTAGGGCAAAAGCAGGGGTAGAAATGAGCTTGAGGTGTAAAAAGTAATGAAGATAATCAGTATGCTTTGAAGTTGGCTGAAGTGTTTAGAGTTGAGAAAGTAGTAACAAATTAGACTGGGTCTAGCTAGATAAGGTTAAACTGATTGACCTGTTGCTTTGAATACCATGCTAAGGTAAGATTTGTTCCTATACTGCAAGGAGGCTATTCAGACTCTTAATTTTCAAATTGATCTTTTTTGAGATACATTTAATAACCTAAATGATTTGATCTAGTCTTGGTAAGTATAGATGAGAGTTGACCAGATGAATTTCATAGCCTTGTAGAGGATAAAATATTGTAGAATTATTTTCATAATTAATGTATTTTTATTATAAGGCTGTTGAAATTTAGAAGTTTGTGAGTAGCACAAGAGAAAACAGATTAGTAAAATTCAAACAGAGTCCAAAAGTAAATTAAAATTCACAGAAGAATTAAATATATATATGTGATAAACATGGCATTTCCCAAAATCAGTGAGAAAAGACAAATTCTACAAATGGTGTTAGGAAGACTGATTGATAATTTAATAAAAAGAAATTCAGAGTCCCTTACTCCTAATTCCAAAATAAAATCCAAATGGATCAAAGATTTAAGCAAAAAAGTAAACCACAAAGAATAAACAAAAAGAGAATAATTAAAACCCAAAAACACCAGATTGGAAGAAAAAGCATTTGCAACACATAAAAAATTAGTATTTTATTCATGTGGGGGGAAAATAGTGAAATACACATTTTTACTGCCAGATTATCAAATATAAAAAGTTGAATAGTATTTAGTATGGTCAGTGTATTAGGAAAAGCAAGTGTTCTCTGTAAGTAGTTGGTGAGAAAATGGGTTCAACTATTTGTAGAGCAGTCAACTCTAGGAAGCAAAGCTCATGGTGGGAGGAGTTCATATTTTACCCACTGTACAGTCTTACTTTTCCAGTCATATTCATTACTTCTGTAATGGAAAGTTATGATTAAAAATACTGTTAATAATTATAGGCGAAGTTACAAGAGTCCATTGAGTATGAAGACTTGGGAAAAAATAATTCCATAAAAACAATTGCACTGAACCTCAAGAAGTCAGATAGGTAAGTTTGGTCAATATTAAATTAACTTGAGGTAGAATAATTATGTAACACAAGTCATTACAGAGTATATTCTTAAGTGTAGCACTTAAGTTTTAATCAGTTTATTATCATAAAAGTTTATCCTTTCTCCTTGAAAATTTACTTTGTGCTTTTCAAGAAAGGATCTTGATTGATCAAAGCCAAGAAAATTAATTTTGGTTCTGTGCTGCTTTCGTCTTACTGCCCTTGGAGCTTAAATTACTCTATTAAAATCTCTCTTAACTATATTACCGTTTTTTGATTTAGGGAGAATGTTATATTGAGACTGCTAAATATGGGAAGACAAATGTAAATGTTAAGCACCTTTATTCTGTGTTGTTAGTAATTAATTTCTTCTTTGCTAATGTTCAGGTATTATCATGGTCCAACTCCAATCCAGTCACTACAGTATGCAACAAGTCAGGACATTATTAATTCTTTTCAAAGCATTAGACAAGAAATGGAAGCTTATACACCCAAATTAACTCAGGTAAGTGACTTGTACTGTTTGAAAACCAGAATTACCATAGTCACTTCCTCAGTTTATGAGCACAACCAAATTGAACTATACAACTATTCTAATTGGGTTTAAACACATATTTCTGCTAAATAAGTAGAAAAAATCAGGTGGGGGAGAAAATATATTAGGCCTATTCAAGAAGATCTGAAGATGACATGATAATGAAAAATTAGATAATGAGTTTAGTGATAGCTCATTTTCTCCTCCTATATGCACAGTTTTATTGGGAATCTCCCAGATTTCTAAAAAACTTCCAGATGTCACTCTAGATATTCTGCATAATCTCAGACTCAGAATACAGAGCTCATTATCTCCTTCATTTTTCTTCACCCTTATTCATACTTCAATTGATCAGTTAAATCTTTGGTATTTCTTGACTCCATCACCTTGGTTTGGGTAAACTTGATCAGTTTTTCACACTGCTGTGGCAAGATTTTCTTTCTAAATACATTAATCTGATCCTAGCACCATTACAACTTAAAAACCTCTACTTCCCCTCTTTGGTGCCACAATAATTATCCAAATGCCTTGTCTGACACGACAGACCCTTTGAAATCTGGCCCTAACCCACATCTCCAATCTCATTTCCAGCCATACTTCCACCATCCTTTCCACACATAACCAGGAGTCCTGTACTGCAGGACTCTTTTGTACTGAACTACCCAGTTTTTAAGTCTTGTAATCTTCATGCTTCCTCCTTTTGCATCTTTCATGCTTTATGCTTTTGCTCATGCTTTCTCTCTTCTTAGAATGAATGCCCTTACTCTGTTTCTGCCCTTGCGGAACTAATAATAAGCAATCCTCAACATGCCCAGTAATGAGTTCGCTTTTTCCTTTTGTCTTTTTTCATAAATACTGAGGCACTGAGTCCATACCTGTATTGTAGTACTTAGCACATACTGGTACATTTTATTTCAAAGTAATCTCAGATTTTCAGGAAATTGCAAAGAAGTTTTCTTTGGACTTTTGTGAGAGTAGATTCCTTTACCCCTGAATATTTCAGTGGGTATTTCCCAAAACAAGGCTTCTCATAAATAATACCATACAAGTACAAAAACAATAACCTAAGATTGATAAAGCATTATTGTCTAACCTGTATGTTTTACAAAAATTTGGCCAGTTGTACCACTGATATCCTCTATAGCAAGCAAAAGAAAACTTTTCTTCTTGGTCTAGCATCCAAGTCAGGTTCATGTGTTGCATTTAGTTGTCATGTCTTTTTAGTCTCCTTTACAATGGAATCGTTTTTCAGTCTTTCTTTGTCTTTCATGACCTTGGTATTTAAAGAGTACAGGCCAGTTGTCTTAGAACACCTTCAATTTGAGTTTCTCATGTTTCCTCATGATTGTATTCGCATTATACATTTTGGGCAAGAATACCACGGCAGTGTTGTGTCATCTTCATTGTATCAGGAGGCTCATATTTATTTGTCCTTCTGATACTAAGTTTGATCACTTGGTTAAGGTAGTATATGCCCCATTTCTCCACCAAAAAATTACTATTTTTCCCTTTGTAAATAAAGTATCTTGTGGGGAGATACTTTAAGGCTGTGTAAATATTCTGTTTCCCATGAAACTTACCTACTATTTTTTTTTAGAATCCATGGATAATTCTTGCCAGGAGCAATTATTACTGTGTTGGTCGTTGAATAGTTATTTTTCTAATTCCATCATCCCTTCTGTGTTTATCAGTTGACATTCTACTAAAAAGAAGCCTTCCCTTTTCCTGTATTTTTTAATTTATATCAGCAAGGATTCATGAATTTTTAATTTTTTTCCACAGATCATAAAGTATTAACATTTTCTTAAACTAATGTGTAATTTATGTGCAGTAAGATTTACCTTTTTTAGTCTATTCTGTAAGTTTAATACATATGTACAGTTGTATGACCACTAGCACAGTCAAGATAAAAGTTTTGTCACCCCAAAAAATGTACCTGTGCCCTTTTGTAATAAGTCTCTCCCCACACCCTTCACACTGGCTTCTGTATCTTTCAATGGTCTCATCAGTTTTTGAGCACTTCTTTACTTTATGGCACAATGAGATAGATGTTCTAAGTTTATCTTCTACTTCCCCTGCCTTAGCCACAGAATCTTCCTTTGAGTGCTAAAATAGGTTTAGAAACCAAGATCTGGGTACTAGATATACTCATTGCTGCTGGAGTGTCATTTGCTGCTGCTGTCATTATCCCCTCAGCAAACAAAGCTCGAAAACTTTTATAGGTACATATATGCAGATTTGGGGTTGTTTGATCACTACTTTCTTCTAGACTGTAATGTCCCAACATCTGGCCTGTGGGCCCAAGTAGACCCACCTAACTTTTTTAAGCTACGGTCAGTCTTAAATATTTAGATTCTTCCCCGTATGTATAGTCCCCCCCAACGCTGCACCTCCAAAATTGATTTCATTATTTGAGACACATGAAGTGAGTTAAGAAGGCCCAATAGATTCTGTTCTCGGGTATGTATACTTATGTGCAGCCAGTGGCTAATGAGCAAGGACAGCAATCACTGAAGTGACTGGTTACAGTGCATTGTAAAATTTCTGACAAAAGGAAATGGGAGTAAAGTGTACTCCCATGGCCCCTTGACTCATGTTTGTCATGTACTGTACTCTTATACTAAGTCAAAAAAATTTTTTTCATCCAACCCATACACATATGGATGTCTTACTTATAAAAGGTCCATCGAAAAACCTTAGACAGACTAATTCTGTACTTGAGCTATCCAACAAATGATCTGTTCCTCTTTATAGCCACCCTGCCTGGCATTTGTTAGGCACTCACTGAATAGATGGACGATTATATCCCTAAATGTCGATACTGGTATAGTGGAGAATATATTTTTGTCCCCTTTTGGCTAAAGGTATTCATTTCATTGAAAAATGACAAACGATGTATTTCTACTCTTTTGGCTTTTTGGTTTTGGGTTTTTTGTCTATTTTCAGCTGCCAGCAAATACACGTTAACATGTTGTTTTACTTGGCTTGTCATCTTTCCTTAAATTCAACTTTACCTTCAGTAAGAGTTCACAGGTTGAGTTGATGCTTAAGAAAGGGCCTCATGAGGCAAAAGTGTGTGAGTTTTGCAGTACCTCTAGACTTGCCCGGTATACCTGGAAGACTGGTGGTGTTCTCTTCCTACTCACACTGTTTCCTCCTGGGAAATAGTTCACTTGTTGCTGTAAACTGTATATTTATATAGGATTAAGGACTTAATGGATATTTTGTAATGAAACTGAAACGTTAAGAAAGATGGCAAAAAAGAGGAAAACTGTTTTCTGTGCCTGAATTTCTTCCAGGTTCTCTCAAGTAGTGCTGCCAGTAGCACCGTCACAGCACTGTCACCTGGAGGAGCGCTTATGCAGGGAGGGACACAGCGAGCCATAAACCGTATGTGCTGGGCCACCTTCTATTGCTGTCCCTTTGCTTAAGTAAGCCCTCATGAGCAAGTTGAGAGAAGTGCTAAAGTTTTACCTGTTTTTCTTTGAAACATTTTGGAATTTTTGTTTTGTTTTTATGCACCTAGATCCTGAAACATACCTAGACAAGATCTTACATTTCACAATTGTCTTAATATTAACACACAGTGGCACATTGCTGGTCTCCTGTATCAGACTAAAAGCTTTTTTTTCCCCTACCTCTTATAATAAAGGGCAACTTGAAAGTTCCTCCAAAGTCCCAAGGAAATTTATATTCTGTGATCTGTCAGCCACAAAATCAGTAACTTATCTCAAAATAGCACATCCTGGTTTGGCATTGGCAAAGAGCACATAATTCAAATTTATTCTCTGAGTAGACTTTCTTTTAGAGACCATACATACAAAAATAGCATTTACTGTACTTTATACTATAAAAAGAGCTTCTAGCTTTTATCCTGTGCACCTCTTCTTTCTTTTGCAGAGATGGTGCCAAGTGATATTCAGTCTGAATTGAAACACCTGTATGTGGCTGTTGGGGAACTTTTACGGCACTTCTGGTCCTGCTTTCCTGTTAACACACCATTCCTAGAAGAAAAGGTAAGAACCAGTTTTAAACACTGCCAGTTATCGTGGTAGTGTAACTTAGGTGTTATTTTGAAATTAGAAAATTTACTGCGTATTTAACATGTACTGGGATAGGTAGTTTGCATACATCATTTCATTTAAGCCTCACAGCAACCTGATGAAGTATTTACCCATTTTATAGATGAAGAAACTTGAGGTCCAGACCAGTTCTATAACTTAAAATTATGCATCTTAAAATTGGTGTCTGCTTCTAAGCCACTGGGAGTAATTGAAGAACAGAGACCCAAAAGAAGTCACATTAGTAAAATTTTTTATTTGGTTCATTTTTTAGGAGTTAGTGAAATCCAAACTCAAATTGACAACAAATATAGCACTAGTTATTTAACACTAAAATCTACAGTTGACAAATAGAAACATAGTTATGGTATTAATAATAACAGCTTTATTATATAGACTTCTCTTATAAACAATCTTTTAGAAAAAGGTAAATACCCCATTAAAAATAATAGGCAAAAGATTTTCAATAGGCAACTCACTAAAGAATGCAAGTGGCCCAATTAACCTAAAAAGAAATATTTATTCTCACTAGTATTCAAATAAATTATCTACAAAGGTACACTAAAAGAGCATTTTCATCTATAATTCACAAAAGAACAAAAAACTTAAAAATGACAGTTTTGGGCAAGTTGCTAATAGAAGTCTGATTCCACAACTAGTACTGCCTTTTTTAAAAATGCCAGAAATTCAATATTTAGAAGTTTAACCTAAGGAAATAATTAAGAGCGGGTAGAAATAGTTAGCCATAGAGATGTTCCTCTAACAGTCTGTGAAGGAAAATGTGGAAATGGCCTAAATACTTAGCAGAAGAGGATTGCTTAAAGAAGAAGCATTTGGTATGTTCACACATTGAAATATTGTACATCCATTTTAAATGACTACTTGAATTAGTGTTCAGTGACTGGAAGATACATTAAACCAAGTGAAGTTTTAAAATAGTATGTACTGTATTTTCTACCTGTGTGAATTTATACATATGTACAAAAAAATACCAGGAAGGATATGAATTATGAACCACAGTGTTAATAACCTCTGAGTGGTGGGATAGAATAGGTATGTTTTATCTTTTATACTTTTAAGATTTTTGTACAGTAATCATGTATTGCTTTTGGGATAGAGGTTTTTAATTTTAAAAAATCAAAATTATTAGAAAATTGCTTCTCTGCCTTCCTGCAGCCAGTTAATCTAAAAAAGAAAAAAAGAAACCTTCCTGTGTGTATTTTTCTCCTGGTCCCTATAGGTTCTTTGACATTTCTCTATAATTCATTATTTCTTTTCTCTTTTTTAGGTAGTGAAAATGAAGAGTAATTTGGAACGATTTCAAGTTACAAAGCTCTGCCCATTCCAAGAAAAAATTCGGAGACAGTATTTAAGCACAAATGTAAGCCAATATCTGATTTTGTTCTAATTTTCTTTCTCTGTGTAGTAAAATGATGAAGTTAACTTTGTTTTTGTGTTAATGAGTAGATTCATTTTTTTTTCTTGTTTGGAATACTGCTTTTTAGTTGTAAAATGTATCATACATTCAGAGGAGTGTATAAAATATATAAGCTCTTTTAAATAATAGAACAAGTATTTGTATGCTCACCATTGACAATAACAAGTAGAACATTACTCGTACCCATAAGTATTCCCTGCGTGCCCCTGTCCAGTTGCCTATCCCTTCCTCATGCTCTCCCAAGGCCATGACTGACTAGCCATCTGTAATAATCATCTGCATGCTTTTCTTTATAGATTTACAACTTGTGTGTATGTCCCTAAAAATACTTATTTTGAACATGTGAGTAGCAGGCACAAACCCATCAATGCAAAGAAAGGCAGATTCTAACAGTAAACTGAACAGTTCCTGAGTTATGGTTTGCCTTCAGCTTCCTGATTACTTATAGTAGCGCAGGGCAGTGGGTGAGGTGGTGACCGAGAAGTGTCACTTTGTGCCCAGTATTTTAGCTTTGTTTTTAATGCAAGGCTAGACAACCACACAATATCATTTTTATATCTGTTATGACACAAGATCATTTTTATATCTGTTATGCAAATCCTCTCAGAAATGACTGGGAAAGAATGGTATAGCAGGCCCTTGAACAACAGGGGGGTTAAGGCACCAGCCTCCCATGCAGTTGAAAATCCACATTCAACTTTTGACTCCCCAAAAATTTAACTGCTAATAGCCTACTACTGACTGGAAGCCTTACCAATAACATAAATAGTTGATATCTATTTTGCCTGTTATATGGATTACATGCTGTATTCTTAAAAGAGAAGTTTTACAAATTGTTGCAAATCTCTAAAAAAATATTCCAGTGCATTTATTGAAAAAATCCTGCATGTGAATGAACTAACACAATTCAAATCTATGTTGTTCAAGGGTCAATTGTATATACAAATTTAGAATTCAGTGTTTCAGTAAGTAGGATAATCAGAAGGGGGTGTTTTACAATTGAAAGCTGATTTCCATCCCCATACTGCCAGAATTGGCAGTAGACTTGTAGACTGTTACTTCAACCATGTAACACTGTCCACCTCCAAGGAAACAGGTAGTCCAAAGACATTCTACTTCAGTACTCTATCAGCTTAGGTCAGTGTGGTCTGTTGACTTCTAGTTAGGTCCATGATAAAGGCAAAAATTTTTCTACTCAAGACACACACAATCCCGAACTGAGCTGTGACACAATACTTGTATGAAACATTGAAACCATTTAGATTTTCTGTAATTTACTGAGATATATTGAAATCCTGAAGTGATGAAATTGGAAAAAACCCTACAATACATAGAAAAGTGCTTCACAAGATTGGTTGTGCTGTAGAATTAACTCCAGGAACTTTTGAAAATCAAAGATTCCTGGGTCTTATCCCAGACCTGCTACATCAGAATCTTAAGGGGAGTATTTTTCAACTATTCTGTAAGGTAATGATGCCACCATCCTGGCCTTAGTCAGCAGACTAATGTTTAAATCGAGAAATCACCAAGTTAGTTCACTTCCTTCATTTGTCAGAAAAAACTGAGGCCTAGTGTCCAGTTACAACTTTCATGTTATTCTATAGCTGGTTAATGATAGGGAAGATATTACAACGCAGCCTTTTCTGTACCCCGCTGTGTCTGTCTTTCTGTACAAAATGTGCCTGATAACACCTTCACAGAGGGCTTGCATGTTGCTTCATTGGGGAAATACAAATGAGCTTGGAAGCAACACCCTGACTGTGCGCCAGATCTGATTAACTTCCCCAGCCTTTGCCCAGCTGTTGCTAAAGTATCTTGCCATGTTTTTCAGTTGGTAAGTCACATAGAAGAGATGCTCCAGACGGCCTACAACAAGCTGCATACATGGCAGTCACGGCGTCTGCTGAAGAAAACGTGAAGTGTCTGTGGCTCTCACAGGTTTTGTGAGATTGAGAGAACTGTGACCTGCATTGACTCTGGAAACATGGCCTGACAGACATGCCGACGATCTCACAGAAGTGACAAGAAACATCTGCACCACGCCGTCTCTCGGAGCTGATGTGTTGAACTTGCACATTATGAACTGAAAGGAAAGGAGCTGTGATTAAACTAAAACCTGGGGAGGTAAATTAAAGCAGAACCAAAATGAGCTAAGTTACTATATATATGTGTGTGTGTGTGTGTGTGTGTGTACACACACACACACACACATATATTTTTGTAAAAGAAACTGTTTACTGCAGTTACTCAGGAACTGCTTTTGATTAACATTAAGCTGCTTTCAGAAATTTAAAAAAAACAATACTTTTTAAAAGGGTGCATTGATAAAATCTGAGGTTTTTGTTTTTCTGTGTAAATTTTTTTTTGCTATGTTTATGGCACAGGGTACACCTTAAGTATTTCTCCTCCATTCTCCACATGGATCCTCAAGTTTTACTGAATTCTAGTTGTACTTTATTTACATCAGCAAGTTAAAGAGAGTACTTTAAAATAAAGCAGAGGAAGACTGTTGCTCAACCACCAGGAAACAGTTGTAGTCAGAAGACATCATTGGTCCTGTGTTTCCTACGGAAATAAGAAAAAAGTAAATGTTGCACTGAATGTTTGTGGTTTTGAGTCCCTAAGTGATAAAGAGGGAACATACTTGCAGAAAGTCGTGTGTGGGATTTTTATGCAGTATTTTGTCAGAAGACAATGGCACTGCATGTTTTTCTTTGAGTGCAAATGTACATTGCTAAGATTTTTTTTTTAAAGATGGCATGTGCTTTGAGAAGAGGAAATTGCATTTTTAAGAATTTAAAAATCTTATGAGTGAGAAATATAAGAAATCTTACTTATTTTCACCTCTTTAGAAAACAATAAAAGATGTTTCTCATACCTCCTTTTCTCTGTATCTGACTGCTACTGTCCTGGGCGAATCAATAATCATTGCGTAGTGACTGGAAACCTGAATGCAAAAAAAGCATATGTTCTTGTTTCTGGCATCTGCGCCATATTGTATTCTGAAGGGATCAACTCACTGTTCTCAAAAGGCTTTTGGTGTCGTGTATTAAAAAATCACAGAAAAAAGTAAAACTTTTTATAGATACTCTTTTAACTGTAACACATCCCTTGTCTTTTCTACTAATGTGTGGTATTTACTTGGTTGGGCTGCTAGAGGGCTACTCATTCTTTTTTAAAAAGCCATCATACAAGCTGGTTATCTTCCATGTAGTGTCTACGACAGGTCCACACCTGTTCGAACTCTGAACTAGTTAAAGGAAAAAGGCAGCATCACTTTGTGCTTCAGTCCTCCCATTTCTCCCGCAGATCCGTGTAGTAACGGTATGACCCCGTACGCCTTACAATGTTACAAAGTGCTTTTCAAATGTAGTATGACCATAACTAAACAATAGGAGTGGAGCAGATAGAAAAATGTTTGAAGTAAGAAGAGTATGTCCATTGGGAAAGGCAGATGTAAAAAATTAAATGTTCTGTTGAGTGCTCTGTTAAAGATTAAGTATTATAATGAGCCTGAAGGAAGAAACCATGTTGTGGAATTGGGTAGGCTTCACTGAAGAGGTAACATGTTAGCTAAGCCTTGAATGTTGATTGGGAAAAGCATTATGAAGGCTTTGAAAGACCTCTGTGTGTTAGATTGGAGAGTTGGGGTGACAGAAGGCTGGGAAATCAATTTAATTGTGAATGGCTTTGTATATGCCAAGGTAAGAAATTCAGAACTTACCCTTAGATATGGGGGTCCTCAGAGAAGATTTTGAGCAAATTTTTTTTATGAGGGTTTTTTGGTTGTTTTGTTTTTTTAGATAAAAAGTCTGGCAGCTATGGAGGCCAAAACCTAGAAAGCTTTGAAACATTCCAAATTGGAAAATTGCTCCAAATTAAAGTGGAGTTCTGGTAAATAGGAGGGGACTGAGTAAAGACATTCCTAAGGTATGTGACCAGGTCTCAGTGAAGAACTTAAGCGAGATTTCACCAGAGATCTAGTTTCATATCTAGCTTGCATTTGAAATATTTGATCCTTGGAGTCTTAAAAATGGACTTTAGCAGCACTTTAGGCCTACTATGGCCCTACCTTCACACTGTGGGAAGTGATAGCAGTCACTGGTGATGGAGGGTTGCTATAAGCCAACACTGTGCCAAGCACTTTTCCTGCTGTATCTCATTCTCACAACAACCAGTGAATCAGATAGGTGCTACATATTATTTTACAGATGAGAAGTGGTTTAAACCTTACCCAGATTCACACAGCCTAAGAGAGCTGGAATTTACCCTAAACTGCTAAGTTGCTGCAGTCACTTTGAGGTAGGATGCTTGTGTGTTTTGAAGCTTTTATACCCCAGCCTGGGCTTCCATCACGTTTTCCTTTGCCCTGTCAGTCATTCCTGCCTCTGATTCTATTCTGTGCTACTTTTATGGCAAATCACAACATGGGATTGGTCTACCTAGTGGGTCCCATTAGCCCAGAGGGCTACAAGATGTAATATAATAAAACCATGCCCTGCCTCAGGAGAATGAGTTTCTCCGGGAAGAAGCGTAAAGTCACAGTGCTAGTGTGTTTTGGATTTACTGCAAAATGAGTGGAATTCCTTGTGATAACCACTGAGTCTGAAGAACAGAAGAATGCTTTATCATCTATACCTAGAAAGATAATCCACTCATCCAGGCTGAGGACTTAACTCTAGAAAGTGGTTTCCTCTTGGTGCATATACCATCTGGAGCTGCTGGTGTCCCTGCGATGGAAAGCTGCCAGTTTTAAACTTAGATTTGCTGTCTCCAATGTCAAGACTTGCACAGGATTCCTAGGTGCATTACCTCTGCCCTTTCCCAGTTTAGCTTCTTCAAACCTCAGCTGTTCTCCCAGTTCTTGAGGCCAGGGGAATCAGTTATTTTCAGCTTTTAGATTATCCTGAGCTGGAACATTGCCTAGAACCTGGTGCTGGGGCAATCATCCTTAGTTTGTAGTCTGTATCCTTACTTAGATGTGTATTTAACTCAGAAAAGACTTTCGAATTCAAACTTTGAAACCACAGAACCCTGTTTTCATAGTCTTTCACAAACCCCTAATACATACGACAAATGTCGAATTGGCACCTTTTGAGGTGGGGCCAGAAATCCAGTTGCTCCCACCCACCCCCAACTCCCCAACAATACAGCATGAAAAACCAACAGCCTCTCTGGCCACCTGACAGCCTGCTGTGTTTGTCAGGTTGGCTGATAATGGGAGTAGGCTGAAATTGAATCTACAGTAAATTCTGGCTTCAATTTTAAATTTTACTTCTCTGTAGTCATAGAAACCAACAGCAAGACGGTAGCCTTAAACCCAACTTACTAGCAATTACATTAAAAGTGAACATTCTACACACACGAATACACACACACACACACATATATTTTTGTAAAAGAAACTGTTTACTGCAGTTACTCAGGAACTGCTTTTGATTAACATTAAGCTGCTTTCAGAAATTTAAAAAAAACAATACTTTTTAAAAGGGTGCATTGATAAAATCTGAGGTTTTTGTTTTTCTGTGTAAATTTTTTTTTGCTATGTTTATGGCACAGGGTACACCTTAAGTATTTCTCCTCCATTCTCCACATGGATCCTCAAGTTTTACTGAATTCTAGTTGTACTTTATTTACATCAGCAAGTTAAAGAGAGTACTTTAAAATAAAGCAGAGGAAGACTGTTGCTCAACCACCAGGAAACAGTTGTAGTCAGAAGACATCATTGGTCCTGTGTTTCCTACGGAAATAAGAAAAAAGTAAATGTTGCACTGAATGTTTGTGGTTTTGAGTCCCTAAGTGATAAAGAGGGAACATACTTGCAGAAAGTCGTGTGTGGGATTTTTATGCAGTATTTTGTCAGAAGACAATGGCACTGCATGTTTTTCTTTGAGTGCAAATGTACATTGCTAAGATTTTTTTTTTAAAGATGGCATGTGCTTTGAGAAGAGGAAATTGCATTTTTAAGAATTTAAAAATCTTATGAGTGAGAAATATAAGAAATCTTACTTATTTTCACCTCTTTAGAAAACAATAAAAGATGTTTCTCATACCTCCTTTTCTCTGTATCTGACTGCTACTGTCCTGGGCGAATCAATAATCATTGCGTAGTGACTGGAAACCTGAATGCAAAAAAAGCATATGTTCTTGTTTCTGGCATCTGCGCCATATTGTATTCTGAAGGGATCAACTCACTGTTCTCAAAAGGCTTTTGGTGTCGTGTATTAAAAAATCACAGAAAAAAGTAAAACTTTTTATAGATACTCTTTTAACTGTAACACATCCCTTGTCTTTTCTACTAATGTGTGGTATTTACTTGGTTGGGCTGCTAGAGGGCTACTCATTCTTTTTTAAAAAGCCATCATACAAGCTGGTTATCTTCCATGTAGTGTCTACGACAGGTCCACACCTGTTCGAACTCTGAACTAGTTAAAGGAAAAAGGCAGCATCACTTTGTGCTTCAGTCCTCCCATTTCTCCCGCAGATCCGTGTAGTAACGGTATGACCCCGTACGCCTTACAATGTTACAAAGTGCTTTTCAAATGTAGTATGACCATAACTAAACAATAGGAGTGGAGCAGATAGAAAAATGTTTGAAGTAAGAAGAGTATGTCCATTGGGAAAGGCAGATGTAAAAAATTAAATGTTCTGTTGAGTGCTCTGTTAAAGATTAAGTATTATAATGAGCCTGAAGGAAGAAACCATGTTGTGGAATTGGGTAGGCTTCACTGAAGAGGTAACATGTTAGCTAAGCCTTGAATGTTGATTGGGAAAAGCATTATGAAGGCTTTGAAAGACCTCTGTGTGTTAGATTGGAGAGTTGGGGTGACAGAAGGCTGGGAAATCAATTTAATTGTGAATGGCTTTGTATATGCCAAGGTAAGAAATTCAGAACTTACCCTTAGATATGGGGGTCCTCAGAGAAGATTTTGAGCAAATTTTTTTTATGAGGGTTTTTTGGTTGTTTTGTTTTTTTAGATAAAAAGTCTGGCAGCTATGGAGGCCAAAACCTAGAAAGCTTTGAAACATTCCAAATTGGAAAATTGCTCCAAATTAAAGTGGAGTTCTGGTAAATAGGAGGGGACTGAGTAAAGACATTCCTAAGGTATGTGACCAGGTCTCAGTGAAGAACTTAAGCGAGATTTCACCAGAGATCTAGTTTCATATCTAGCTTGCATTTGAAATATTTGATCCTTGGAGTCTTAAAAATGGACTTTAGCAGCACTTTAGGCCTACTATGGCCCTACCTTCACACTGTGGGAAGTGATAGCAGTCACTGGTGATGGAGGGTTGCTATAAGCCAACACTGTGCCAAGCACTTTTCCTGCTGTATCTCATTCTCACAACAACCAGTGAATCAGATAGGTGCTACATATTATTTTACAGATGAGAAGTGGTTTAAACCTTACCCAGATTCACACAGCCTAAGAGAGCTGGAATTTACCCTAAACTGCTAAGTTGCTGCAGTCACTTTGAGGTAGGATGCTTGTGTGTTTTGAAGCTTTTATACCCCAGCCTGGGCTTCCATCACGTTTTCCTTTGCCCTGTCAGTCATTCCTGCCTCTGATTCTATTCTGTGCTACTTTTATGGCAAATCACAACATGGGATTGGTCTACCTAGTGGGTCCCATTAGCCCAGAGGGCTACAAGATGTAATATAATAAAACCATGCCCTGCCTCAGGAGAATGAGTTTCTCCGGGAAGAAGCGTAAAGTCACAGTGCTAGTGTGTTTTGGATTTACTGCAAAATGAGTGGAATTCCTTGTGATAACCACTGAGTCTGAAGAACAGAAGAATGCTTTATCATCTATACCTAGAAAGATAATCCACTCATCCAGGCTGAGGACTTAACTCTAGAAAGTGGTTTCCTCTTGGTGCATATACCATCTGGAGCTGCTGGTGTCCCTGCGATGGAAAGCTGCCAGCTTTAAACTTAGATTTGCTGTCTCCAATGTCAAGACTTGCACAGGATTCCTAGGTGCATTACCTCTGCCCTTTCCCAGTTTAGCTTCTTCAAACCTCAGCTGTTCTCCCAGTTCTTGAGGCCAGGGGAATCAGTTATTTTCAGCTTTTAG